AAAATATCACATACGTACGGCATCAAAAAGTTTCTATAAGATATTCATTTAAGAGACAATCATTTCCATATGCTTTACGGTATTTGTTTTTTAATTTTCTAACAGCTTTCATAATTTCGCCAGAATATATGGGGCGGTCAAATTCGACATTAACGGAGCAACTGTCAAAATCATGAGTACCGCTAAACTGTTCAACTTATTCATTTTGGCATGGAAATATATCATCTTCAAGATTTGAAAACAAATAAAAAAATTCATCTTCAGTAATTAAATTTGCTGACTGAAAAATATTATTATTATTTTTAAAATATTTCCAAAAAGCTTTTGGTTTACAAAGTTTAAAGTTTTCAATTTCTTCTAATTTTCTAATCTTATACTGAGTTTTCTTTCTTTGTATCAACTTCTTATACTTTTGTTTACAATCACAATAATGAATGCTACTTATATCTAATTTACAATTGTTAAAAACCTTTAAAGCCTCTAGATAACTGTTTCTAGCGCTAACACATTCTCCATCAAACCACTCAACGTTACTAACAGAAGGCGAATCAATAAAACATGTCGTTTGTGATTCTTTATAAGTTTTCAAAATATTGTCAGCAGCATCTTTAACAATATTCGTAAATTCTGATACAACATCATTTACGCAAGTTTTTCGTTGGTTCAAAACTATGTACTAATTGATTCAATAGTGGAAATTGGCCAATAAGACTGGCTCTAAATGAATCCCTATTTACCTGTGACCACTTATATTTAGAAACATATATATCATCATCATAGTCGATAACATTTACAAAACATCGAGAAGTCTTAACCCAAAACTATTACGCTTTGTATCAAAAGAAGCCCTGTCACTTTAAACATCTGGAATATAATCTTGATCATCAAATAATTCATTAACATTATCATGTCTAATTAAATCCGGCTTTAGACCCACTCTACTATTAAAATCGCCGCACACATATAAATCGCCAAACTCACTGTGATAACTTATATTAGTCTCAAAAAATTCAAAAACGTCTATATTTACAATATGATATGCTGGCGAACCTTCATGCCATAAATAGTCAATATGGTCGGTATAAAAACACTATCGTTATTAACAGTCAAATTCTCAGATTCAATCTCGTCATATAATATACATGTACTGTTTGTCTGACTTAATATTTTACTCACCGAAACATTTCCCGACGGGCCTCCTTCCGAATTTATCTTCTTTCTGTTTTGTCCCTTTTTATAGTCCCTATCAATACTGCCTTTTTTCCTTTAATGCCTATTACCCATAACAGAAATCTATTGTCACTTAAATCTTTTCATATCCGCACATATACACGAACATATATATCCACAAAAATTCCACAAACCATCAGATTATTAAATCAAAACATTAATATTTGCGGAGCGACAAAACAAAATTTTACCGCCATTAATCACGTGACATTTATCGTCGTCATAACGATATTTAATGGCAAAATATTTTGAGACATTTAGCGGTGGTTGTGACATTAAGAGACAATGGTGCGACATTTAGCGGCGGCAAGTGCGACATATTTGTGCCGTTGCGACATATAACGGAACCACATACTTCATATCAATTAAGGGTGTTTTTTTACTGTGCTATAGAGTCAAAACGAAGATATCATTTCGTAAAAATATAATGCGTTTAACTTTAATTTTCATAATTTGGTTTTTGTTTGGCAATATTGACCTGATAACTTTTGGAAAATATTCGTAAGTTTATTTGTTACGATTAACTAATTGATTTTAATGATATGAATGTTGTCAATACTTTATTTGCACTTACGTCTCACTGGCCTATAGTGGTAAGAGTGATAGCATAGCAATTGCGCAGTTGCAAGCTCCTAATCCTCGACAAACTTTTTTCCTCAGACTTCTTAAAATATATTTCAATTATATGCAGCATTAATGAATGAATCTTTTTTTTTTTAAATTTCTTATGCTTTTCTTTAAAAAAAATCATAACTTTGATATATAAATGTATATATGTTTCATAATTTTAATTTGTTCAATCATATAATGGGGGATTGGCATGTACACATTCCTAGTAGTAGTCAAGTTTTGTAAAATATAATTCAAATATAAAGAGGTTTCATTAGGATTCGAACCTACAGCTTCACTTTTAAACTAAGAATCTTAACTCCTTATCAGCGATGCTAGTCTAGCAAATGTTTTGTTTGTAACTTTAAGTTATACATATACCCTGTATACCTTTATGCCATACTTTAAGGTCCGTATAATATACTTCGGAATCGAACAATTACCGACGAAAGGTCATTGAATATTCAAATGTCTCAGGTCAATTTTGCCAAACAATAATCTTGTAGTGTGCTTATAATTTAGAACCGACGAAGGTTCAGCTTATCGTGCCCAGATTATACGAGAAGAAGCTACATATGGGACGAAAATGAATATAATATGATAATTAATTAATAGACGGTATGTCTATACAAGTACAAATCATATTAATATGTACCAGGTTGTATATATTTAGGGATAGGTCTACCATGGGCACATTTTCCAAAAATATCTAAAAACAAATTGAATTACTAGTATGTATCATTTGGATGTTTCAAAAAATTATTGCTTGAAAAAGGTGTTGATAAAGTTCTATATGATATAGCATAAATATTTATCAGAATAATTATAATCTTTTGTTTTAGAATACTAGTATTTAATTATCTGCTATATAAATGTATGTAATATCAGATTCTGTATCTCACACTCGCCAAAAGCATACATATATAATTATTTCGTGATTTGATGCTTTACCTAAAACTTCATACCATCAACATAATTATTTATAACATAACAAACCTCCAATTAAAGATTCACTTTAAGGAAAATACTGTTCTGTATATAAGTGTCACACAATTCTTTAGTTTTATTTAACGTCAAAACATAAACCGAAAATCACATTTGTCTTCTATAGTACTTATTAAAAAGGGGTGCCGATTTAAATGACCGAGGGCCAGCTTAATTTACAAATAATATGATATGACAAATTCGCATCTTTGCACCCCCCGAAAAATAAACAAATCCGATAATATTCTTTCTTGATTTAAATTTAGATTTATGGTGTATTTTTTTTAAAATTCTGCTCCTGTTGAAAAAGGTTGATTTTAGGTAAGCCACCAAATCGATGCTATCAGATCATGTATAATCGCAGATGAAAAAAACGACAATTCAATTAAATGGCTAAAGGGAACATTCTTTTTTTTAAATAAATGGAATCAAATTAAGTTATTCTATAACTTTAGTTAGGTTCATGAATGTTTTTTGAGTATCCAGTGGAAGACATATTTGCCAAATCTCTCCCAAGTAATGGTTTTTTTCCAGAATTTGAAAACAGTGTAGTTGTACCCTTTTTTTAAAAAACAAATATTCAGCCAAAATATCTTCACAGATTCTCACCCATTACATCATAATGAATATTGTGATAACATTTTATATTTACTTATGTTTTTTTTAAAGTACTACCTCTTGCAGTATAGTGAATGCATATTATATTTTGCGTTATCACATTTGGATGATTTAAGTACATGTTACAATATAGGAAGTGAAACATGATATGTTAGAAATCTAAATAAACATTCGGTTTTATGCAGAAAGTGTTAAAATATCAATTGTTTGGAACATTAATATTTTGGTAAATACATGTATGATTCTTCTTTTGTTCTTTTTTCCTATAAAAGGAGTTTATTTTCTTAACAACATCTTAAAAAGAAAAATGTAATAACTTTACAATGTAGAATCATATTTACAGACTGAGGATACCTTAAAATAATTGGGTGGAGTGTTTGAGGGAGGGATAAAGCAAGAAGGTTAGCACAAACTTGTAATCCAAACGAGAAGTACAATGATTTTATACAATTATATACCTCTGAAAGAGTTCATGAAAGACACTTTATCTTTATACTATATGATATCACGTCATTTTAATATTTTTCAACTAATCATATAGTCTCTTGTAGAATTCCGAAACGTTTTCTTTTACGACATATGGAATTTTTGCACGAGACAAAAGACTACAATGTAGCTGAGTTTCAAGAGAAATATACTGATAATCTTCCACAAATTGTGATGGTGACTCAAGGTTTCTGTGGAGAAGATAATGAAGATACTTTTGACAGGGAACAGGTTTGTCTGTATTCTGTTTGTAATGAAATCTTTATTAAGCAGGGTTGGTTTGTATGTTTGTTGGTTTCAACACGGTTCAGTTACTCTCATGCGTGTATGTTAATTTCTGTTTTGTTTTGCTTGGTTTTACGAGGCACCAACACAATTTAGATCATATGGCGCCTAAAATTTCGTTTCAATTTATCTTAAAAATAAAAAAGGTAAGGCCGTGTGTCTATTTGAATATTGTTAGCAATTTATAACAAAACGCTGGTTATGATCACCAATGAATACACACCAAAACTACATTGCATTTTATAACTACAATTTTAATATCGCCTGCAATTGTAATGGCATCCAAGTTTACGTGAGAATGGCCTCTTCATTAAAAATATCACCGTAACTGTAATTTGCCTAGAGTAAATGAAATCTATGTTATATAATGTAGTGATATCGATCAGACATGAATTCACCTAAAGCATGTAAAGAGTGATTTATGTTTGTGAAATATGGTGAAAAAGATATCTCATTTTATCTCGGATTAATTTGAATGATTTAAGGGATTGATAACACCGAGCGTTATCTACATGACTGTATGCCTTAAATAAAGACGCATACACGTCTTTGGATATGTTTTCCGTTCTGGATACAAAAGAAAGTTGATTTTAATAGCCTACTATTTGCAAGTCATACTATGTTAGCTGGCACATTATGCCTCAGAGATCCATATTTTTTATTTCAAGCATTCGTTTAACAATAGGAGTTGCGGCCTAGTAGTTAAGCTGTCTGTCTCTCTACCCAATGATAACTGGTTCGAGACCTACTTTGGTCACGACCATGTTTCTTCATATGACACCAGTACTTGTTAGTTCTAGGAAGCGGATTCGAAAGTGATTAAAATAGAGATTTTTAGCTTGAGTCGATACCGACAGACGAAGACGGAGACGGCTATTTTTCTAAGGGGGCGTTTCAAATGATCTCTTTTTAAAGATTGCATTTATTTATATTACAAAATGCGTTCATAAGTCTTTTCTGAATATCTTATTTTGTTTATCAGAAGATTTCTCGACACCATCTTGGAACTTTGTTTTTAATAAAATCGTTGAATGATAATTAATTTTTCCGAATGATACCAGCATGCGGCATCTTTCTTCTTTTACGTCTCTGTGTGCACGGCGGCGTTGGATCATCTTGTGACGATGAAAGTTCTTTAGCAATGTTTTTCCTCAAATCAGCTGATATCCCTGGTTGATTATCCTGGCGTGACTGACCTGCTACTTGACTGGCCTCGTGTTCTCTCGTGTCGACCCCGGCATGCTGAAGACGGTGCGTAATAGCATCTATTGTCACTCCTCTACAAGATAACCGAAACTAAAAAGCATGATTATTATATACTACAGCTTTATATTAACTATATCTTCTGTTAAGAAGAAGATATGACTTTTATTTAGCACTTTTTGCCAATTCCCCTTCATTATTTTTAAGAAATCAATAAAAGGTGTTTCCCACTTTAAAAAGCTTTAGTTTCGATTTCGTTGAAGCTATATAATCATATTAAGGATACACTTGTAGTTGCCATAATTTCTTGTTAGATAATAGATCAATAAATTAAACACAGGTGTGAATTATTTTTGCCATAGAATGAAAGATTTGATATAGATCCCACAATATATATGATTTTTGTTTTTGTTATGATATATTTTTGTAATGTTATCGCATAATATTTAAATGGTATTATACATGTATTGTTACTGTAAATATTGTATCTGTAAATACTGTTATGCTCTTCATCTTTGGAGGAAACAAAAGTATCTATCTATCTATCTATCTATCTATCTATCTATCTATCTATCTATCTATCTATCTATCTATCTATCTATCTATCTATCTATCTATCTATCTATCTATCTATCTATCTATCTATCTATCTATCTATCTATCTATCTATCTATCTATCTATCTATCTATCTATCTATCTATCTATCTATCTATCTATCTATCTATCTATCTATCTATCTATCTATCTATCTATCTATCTATCTATCTATCTATCTATCTATCTATCTATCTATCTATCTATCTATCTATCTATCTATCTATCTATCTATCTATCTATCTATCTATCTATCTATCTATCTATCTATCTATCTATCTATCTATCTATCTATCTATCTATCTATCTATCTATCTATCTATCTATCTATCTATCTATCTATCTATCTATCTATCTATCTATCTATCTATCTATCTATCTATCTATCTATCTATCTATCTATCTATCTATCTATCTATCTATCTATCTATCTATCTATCTATCTATCTATCTATCTATCTATCTATCTATCTATCTATCTATCTATCTATCTATCTATCTATTATCTATCTATCTATCTATCTATCTATCTATCTATCTATCTATCTATCTATCTATCTATCTATCTATCTATCTATCTATCTATCTATCTATCTATCTATCTATCTATCTATCTATCTATCTATCTATCTATCTATCTATCTATCTATCTATCTATCTATCTATCTATCTATCTATCTATCTATCTATCTATCTATCTATCTATCTATCTATCTATCTATCTATCTATCTATCTATCTATCTATCTATCTATCTATCTATCTATCTATCTATCTATCTATCTATCTATCTATCTATCTATCTATCTATCTATCTATCTATCTATCTATCTATCTATCTATCTATCTATCTATCTATCTATCTATCTATCTATCTATCTATCTATCTATCTATCTATCTATCTATCTATCTATCTATCTATCTATCTATCTATCTATCTATCTATCTATCTATCTATCTATCTATCTATCTATCTATCTATCTATCTATCTATCTATCTATCTATCTATCTATCTATCTATCTATCTATCTATCTATTATGGACAAAAATTTGTGCAACATTACCCGCGGGAAATTTCGCTTTACATGAATGATAAATTATGCAATAAAACGGTACAAAAAGATTATAGTAGTTTATGAAGTATGGTTAAACTATTTCAACACAATTCTTTATTTCACAAAAAAAAATGTTAAAAAAATCCAGGCATTCATTTCTCTTATATTCGGTAACAATGAATCAATCCAAACAATTAGTAACATTTCACTCGCTTTGGATATGGCTCCCACGACATCACCTATTACATTGGACTTATTTGCATGATTTTAGAACTCATTCGACCAGAGCCTTACCTGAGACTTTTTTTGAATCGTTAAAGACATTTACAGTGGCAAAATGTGTTTTCTTTCATCTGTTCCATTCGGTTCTGTCAAGTGACATGGGAAACTCCTGAGACATTTTTAGATCTATTAGAAACTCTTCGTATTTCATCATACAAGCCTCATAAATCTTTTGCAAAAAACAGAGTATTTCATGTGCTTATGTGGTTTCGAACATACCAGAATGTTATGATGTCATTGTTCAACAAATCAGTGCCAAGTGCCACTTTGTTATGGAAATAAGGTTGCTTATCACGACTTTCTATCTACGTCTAAAGCATTTGTCGTTTGGCCACAATGTCATGAGTGGTAAGCCATGAAAGGCACCTGGAACAGAATTCCAATAGCCGCGATAGCAATTGATGGAATTTCATATAAAATAAATAGCCCTATGAAAACAGTTTTATTCAGGTTATCGAATATAAGATATAAACTATACGAAGTGGGTTTCTTGGTCATCAAAACGATGCCCAGCAGTATCATATGTTACCTCAGATCGGCACTGATTTACCATTTCCACAAGAGTGCATTGAAATTGTCGACTTATGAAAATATTGTGACATCATACACGTCATCTCAAATATTCCGTAAAAAGAGGGCCTAAAACAGAGTGTATGAGTTGAACTCGCTATAGCAGAGATTAAACGTTGTATGGATACATTAAGGGGAATGCTCTTCCAAAATTGTATATATTTGTACTTATCTTACTTGTCATAATAAGGTTATAGGACTTACTGTTTTATTATTAAGTTTAATAATTACTATTTTGAGATAACCCCCGAATATTCTACCCGTTGTTCGTCTCCGGCTATCGTTAACCGTACAAGCTTAAAATCTCTAATATAAGTTGCAAGAACTTGTTTCACAATAAAGCTTCAATAAATATGTTTAAACTATACTTATAATGTTTAAATCATGGATTTAAAGCATATTCGATGATAATCAACTGTAAGAAGTATGTCTTGCTTGTAGTTCAGGTAGGGAAATGTAAACAAAGAATTTTTTTGACTTTCATACAAAATACTATATAATAATACACTTTAATTATACCAATTAATAACAGAGCAAAAGCATCAAAAAGTTCATGTATGTGTGCAAACAGGTATTTTTTCAAAATCTGTCAAAGATACAAAAATAAAGTTTTTGAGAAATAAAATTGATTGCATTTCTGAAGCATATGTGCATTTAAAGCATAGGTTAAAACATTACACTTAATCATTTGACTGTGAATCGGACGACCCTGGTTCGATAACCTGGAATGACTGTGCCAATTTCGTTGTGATTGATCATGAAATCTTTTGTACGGCCATTCGCACCGTATCTATAATCTGGCATGTGCAGGACTTCAGTTCCTTGCTAAAGTGGAGGCAACTAGTACTGGTGAACTGCTTGACAGCCTGCCCAGGAACAATACGGTAGCTGAACTCTGCTCTCGTAAATTCTATGTGGCTAACAGCCGTGATCAGGAGTGAAAATTACCACCACCATCACTACCACCACCATTTCAAAACCTTTTAAGTGGTCACACTTTTGTGATCCTTTTCATTTTCGGTATCTTATTTTCTTTTGTAACAGTTCTTAGGTCTAGGTCAAGATCAGCAGACTCCACACAAGTTTTAATTTAATTTTATATATGTATGAGTTAATGTGTACGGTCAGTTTTTCTAGATACAGTATATATTTTTATTCACTTATATTACAGTATGTTAAATGTTATCTCTAGCATGTCAATATTATTTATCATTTTAAACTATATGTAGGGTCTACATCGCACAATAAAGTATTAAGATTAATGTAACATGTTTTACCATTTGTCTTTCAAAGATTATCATTATATGCGTCTTTTATGAGTGTTATGTTTACATGCATGTATCTCGGTCAAAAGCTATACACAGCTTATGTATTGTGTAATGTCATATATACACACAGACAATAAATGAATTTTGATTTGATTTGATTTGAAAATTAAGATATTTGTGTTTATACCAGGTGCTGCGAGTACATGCTTTATCGAAACAAAAAAGGGTAGTAGCCAGGATCCAGTACACGACGCACACTAAAATAATAAGTTTACCTGTATGTTATGACATAAGTTTGTGTGTCGTTAGAAAAGGAGACAAACGTGAGTTAAAACAAGTACATGTAATACTGTTTTAGAAATAGATGATACAGCTTTTGTTGATATAGTGCATCATTTCCAGTGCTCAAATTTAAAGGCAAACTTCATGATTTTTTCCTTAACACCATGTATCCGTGTAATGTGTGTAGATGTCAAGTTTTAGAAAGGACATTCAAACATTAGAAAACGACAAAAAGATAACAAATTAATAAAAAGAATGTCACAATACGGGATGCACACATTTATTTGAGCACATCACGCTTAATTGTGAACTTACGAGATAAATATATATTATTATTTTCAAACAAAAAATGAATTGCCTGGCTATATGTCCATTTAGAAATGTTTTGAAACTAAAGCATGTCACCAAGAAATAAAAGCTTTTGTGAAATAGATATAAGAAATACTATTTCCTTTGTTGAAAATATTTATTTCAAAAGATGGACTGTTATAAAGGCGATTGACTAACTGTTGATTTATGAAAATGTTTAAGATAAAATATATATCTGTCTTAAATATAAAAAAAGATTGCCGAACTCTTTTTATAAATTGAACTGTGACTGATATTTACAGAAAATTCCTTGGGCCACGAGTCCTATTTATCGTTCATTGAAGGGATTTCTTATGGCAAAATATAAAACTTATTTTGACTTAACCTGTTCACTCACTATATATAATGTCAATTGAACTTTATGCTATCTCCTTTTCTTCCTAATTTTTAACAGACGGAGAGCTGAAATCAATATTTACCATTTTGCATAACTATACACTTCCGATAACCGTCCAGTTTGCGAAGAATCGCAGATTTACAGTTGATAAACACACTGCTGTCGACGTTAGCAACATCCCGCGCATGGATCTCCTACAGACCTATGACGAGATTAACCTGTTGTCAAATTGTATAATTGACGGTTTGTATAGTTTAATTTTTTGTTATTTAAAGTTGTTCGTTTACTTAACTTACTAACTGTATGTACACTTAGAATGCAAACTGTCCTTTTGTATGATAAATATATTTATATAAATTATGATGTAAAAATGTGTACAAAAATATCTCATTTTATAACATACCCGTGAGACAAGTTTCTAAGTCGAGGCCACGAGTTATTAAGTCGTACGCACGAGATTATTAAGTCGTGCGCACGAGATATTAAGTCGTGCGCACGAGGTACTATGTCATAGAAACACACACACATATCACCTCTTTGCCACCGTACTCGCATTACAAAATTGTAATAAATTCAGTATTGAACCTAAACCTATTCCATATCCATAGCTCAAAGAAACTACATCTTATTTCCATTTTAATTATTGTTAAATTATAATTCAATATATCTTGTAATAATCACTATCAAGGATAAGTACAGCATAAAATATATATAAAAAAAATGAATACACAAGAGATCATAAAAAGTGGCAATTCTTTACGCATGTTAACATCAGACGATAGGAACCATTTATTAAGAGCTTCAACAGAGTAGACGGACACAACCACTGTTGTACAGCGTCCACCGGAAATAAAGTTTGCTAAAATCAGCTTGAAATGATGGGTGACCACTCAAATATAGTTAGAGGGAAGTCTATGTTTTGTAGAACAGACGGATTTTGATACAAAAATGCGTTTTGGGCTTGATTTAGTTGTAAATATCGACATCGTTCGCAAATGTCAACAACTACACTACAATTTATAGCCAATATAACAAAAGTATTCAATTTGCAGAAAAAAGCAAATATTTCTCTAGAACCAGATATATTTAGCTTCAAAATTGTTTAGGTTGGAAAAATCGATTAAGTTATGATGGAGAAATAAGTTGAAGCATTACCTCGGATGAACTCGACGAACACTTTTTAACTTTCATATTCGATGTTTTGAGGGGCTATTTCCGGTGAACGCTGTACAACAGTGACAGCTATTTTGACTACGTCCCTTATTGAGATATGTCTTTACAATAAATGACCGACTACGGAACCATATGAAAGACATTTACCTAAAAATGTTTATCATTTAAAGATATTGTAATTTTAATACATTTAATTATTCATTCATTCAAATTACAGGTAAAATGAGTGAAGAAATTGTTTACATACCAGTTTATCTGTCACAAGTGAGACTGGCAGTGGTAACAGGGATTAAAGGTCAAACAGAGGGTACATGGAACGTCTTTCAACAGAAGTTAGATCAAGCTGCCAGTGATATAGAATTTGATAACGAATTTGGAAATCCACGTGAGACGATTATTTCTCTGAAAAATCATATGTTACATTAAGCAGTGCTATCGCTAAAATGCAATATAATACTTTATAGTTTAAGAAATGTTTTGTCCATAAAGAAACTGGCTTGAATATGGACGTGACTTGAACAGTCAGGTGCTTGCATTCGGACGGACACCATAGACATCTTGAGACACACCCAACGCTTATAAGGATCTAATTAATTGTAGGGAATCTCATAATTTCACAATTTGTATTTTTTTTAAGTTCACAAACATTATCTGAAATGAAATGATTTTACATATTAATGTTTTTTTGTTATTACAACAAATTTTACCGGATGTTATTCATTTAAGATTTTATTTGCTGAGTTATATAAATTTAATTTTTTCCAAGAACTAACGGATATATTTTCGTGACTACGCGTCGTTATTGCACATTATTTGTAATAAATCTAACTCAGGGCGCTGCGTAACAACATCCTTATTCAATGACGGCCCGGTAGCTTTATTACCAAATTAAGGATTTAACTCAATACAAGCTCTAGACGCTTGCAGAAATCATGATCACAAAATAGACCAATTTCTTTTTTTTAGCCGATTCTTACATTTTCATTCATTATCGTATATAAATCGGTGTTGAGAGATAAATTAGCCATTTTAAAGTAAGTTCCGTTAGATGAAAAGGCAAGATCTCAACATTTAATAATACAAGCGCCTTGTCCGGTATATACCAGAATACGATATTGAGGGTGGTGCTCTTATCCTTTCTTTAGTCTCACTCTCAAATCATAACGTTAAATGACGTAACAAATGACGTCACACTAGCACGTGGAAAGCAACAAGCAAACATACGAAATACAAATAACAAAACGCAAAATACGTTTTTACATGTATTAACATCTGCAAAAGGCCTCGGACTAATACAATACCTCCTCCTTCTGGTTCGGGCTTTAACTGCGCCCTGGTGCTTCTGTAGATGTTAATGCACGAGAAAAGGTTAATTAACATTGACATGATTGATATTATTTCTTTTACAATTTTCATATTTAGGCGAGAACACGGTCTAACACCAAAGCTTGGTTGATTTATCTGCGACTACATATACCAATTTAGCCAGTGTATACCAGGATCAGATGGCACATCCGTGTCATCTGCTCATGGTCTTGCACAGTTCGTTATTAAGTCAGTAAATATTTTGAAATGTTTCCTAAAAGTGATGAATGTTTTTTTTTCACATTGAATGATGGGCAAGCCAATTTTATAGCTTTAGCGTTGTCAGTGTATTTTGAATTAAATGGAATAATGCCATTTTGGTATTAAGGTAAATGATTGTCATTGTATAAAACGTTTCTTCACAAGTTTCATTACGCATGTTAAACTGGATCTACATTCTATTAAAGCAGGCAAACATTTTGTGTTTTCAGATATTGCCGAGTATGACACTAGCACAGTTCACACTGGTAACAAGTACACGTATATTGAACCGACATCTTACTGTAAAATTCTCAGTCTTGTAAACAAATCACCACATAGATCATTTGACACTGCATCATTGAACCAAGTACATAATCTTCAAAACCAAGACCAAGGTCTAAACGTTTACGAGGAAATTGACATCACGGCGCGAGAGAATCAAACGACACTTGAACCATATGACAAGCTTAGGATGTCATGGTCAAAGAGAAGTCATTTGACGTCAAAACTACATAAGCACAATAAAAAATATCAAGTGACAGCACCAACAGCTCTCCCAGAACGGAAGCCTATACCTGGTCTTCCTGCAGCAGTTACAAAGGATAATGGTGCAGAATCCATGTATGAAAATGGTGTACCACGAACGAATTTAGCACCATCAACGCACACCAGCGCGAAACTTAAATCTAAGCCATCACCTGGAGCGGTGAGTAAATTTGTACGTGATGTTAAAAGGCATGCTGACGTAAAGAAACTGAGTATCGAGGAGGTTGTCGAGTATCTTAAAAGACTGAACTTAGGGAAATATGCTGATACTTTTAAGACTGAACAAATTGATGGTCGACTGCTAATACAACTGGACAAAGACACGCTGAAAGAAGACTTTGATATGAAAGGTGTGGAGGCAATAAGACTTGTAACATTTGCAAAAGAAGGTCACGTGCCGAATTAGATAAACTTAAAAGCGAAACACATTAATTTTGTTTTTCACTTTATGTTTTTGTGGGATACAGAACGTTAGTTTTATATATTGACTTAATTATTTTTATAACTATGTTCAAATAACAAATGTTTTTAAAGAACAATACAGTGCCATTGTTTAAATGTTATGAAAAAGTACAAAATAAATTTCCCATTGCCTGACACTTTATATACATCCGCCATGGTGAAGTTTGCGTGTTATGAAGCTCAATTAGTTTTGTGTACCCAGCAAACACAGATCAGTCAAAATATTTGAAGAAAATCAACCATGAGAAAATTAGTAAGATTTTAAGAAAAGAAAAAAATATGCACAATTCACGAAATAATTTACAAAATACATGCATATATTGGCTATTGCGTGACTAACACAATGAAATCAGTGTATCCTGCTTCTGTCTACAAAGCCTTGCCGGATAACTTTTACAGGATTATATACCGTTTACACCAGTGTTAGGAAAATCTGTTTTACACCCCATGTATGATAAGTCGCGTGCCTTAAAAGACGCCATTGCGTTTTAAGGATGACATCATTTTACCGCTATGAATAAAAAGTTGTAAGTTCATACGCTACTATGTAACAGTTAACTGTTTTATCGCAATTTCATAAATTTGATTTGTAATAGAAAGCAGAAAAAATAGAAACCTCTGATAAAATATACCAATACTATCTAATGCTAACAGCTATTTATTATAAGGCAGTTGTTTGAAGGTGTTTTCGCTACCGCCGCAAAAAAAGAAAGAAGAAAAAGGAATAGATCTAAACTAAGATGTGCAACCCTTGAACATTTTAAGATGTCAAATGTTTAAGACGGATTAAAAACGGATACTTTAATTGTGCAGAAAATAATATTGATACAAGATTTTAAGGACTTTTCAAATGGACAATAATTCATTCAGCGGATGTACTTTTGATTTGAGCAGTTGTATTTATGAGAATAAATTTAATTTCATTGATTATCTTTGTTTATATTATTCTGAATGTTCGTTACCGATGCCCTATTGGAGCCTCTGTGAATAAATACCCCAACTCAACCGATATATAGCAGGTGCAAAAAACCTCAACTGTTATATATCAATAGAGTTTTACCTATATGATTCAATGAAAAAATTGCACTGCTATATATCAATACAGGTTTAAGTGTACTGAGTATGATGGGCTAGTAAAAACAACAAGTTCGAAACCATGCGATTAAAAAATGTGCGTAATGCGAATATCAGTTTTCAGTTTTTGTAATTTCTGTTCTGAAATTAATTGAAATTATTTGAAAAAGAATCAAACACCTGATGTGAACATCCAGCTCTCGGGTAACTGTTCAGCGGAAATTGCACAGAGCCTCGTTACCGCCGTAAACAGTTACCCTCAAGCTAGATATTCCGGTCTGTATCGGCAGCCAGTGTAAGATTCTTATAAGCTTTCTCCAGTCATTACATCACAGGATTAGTCTATAATGACATGGTTAGCAAAAACAAAACTTCATATAGACCCTGTTTGTAAGAATGAAACAATTCAAATAATCTAAAAACATGATCAAACTATGCAATAAGCAGGATAAATCGAATACATGGTTGTTGTCGGGATAGGAAAAGGTTTGTCCGGTTCGCTGCGAAAGTGAATCAAATCTCGCCTCGCTCACCGGTTAAACCTTCTCCATCCCGACATCACCCATTTATTCTCTATTTTTGCATCTTTTGACCTATGTTTGGAGATTTTGTAGATGTTAAGGGCTATTTGTACCAAATGTGTTTTTATGGCAGTCCGAAAGTGTACAAAAAGTGATCGAGGAATTTTCATATAAAAACGAACTATTTCAAACTGACACATTGCTGAATTGTAAACTATACATTAATCTATCAAAGTACACCAAAATATGATAAAACTTACACTGTGCGGACTCTAAATGGACATTCAACATAAAAATATTCTTTAACATGTGCGAAAACGTTTTACTTACGAATGAAAACGAAACCAAATATTAGACGACTACTACAAAGTGAAATTACCGGCAAGACAAAACATTTCGCATGAAATGCGAATATACAGTTCCATGACACTCCCCGTCTGATATTATATATCACTATTAACCAAAATACAATATTGTAATGCTTGATCTACCTTAAAAAAACATTATAGGAAACATTAAAGGGATGTGTCACCTTAATTCACACTTTAAGGGATCGAATACCTTTACATAAAATCAAAGATATCTAAACAAGAGTAATTAAAAGAAAAAACTTAATCAATGGTAACTTTGCAATATGGTAACAATAAATGCATCTATTTTCAAAGTAACAAGATCTTCATATAAAATGCCATAAAGTAAACTTCTTCATACAAAAAATACAAACATGTAATCATATTATGCATATACAAAACAATCCATCAAAATTACTAGTGTAAAGGTAATAGCTTGACTTCTTGATAGGTTTAATATACACTTTAACAAAGAAATATAACAAACCTTCATATGTATTAATTAATACTAACTTGTTTTGAAGACAACTTCAAATGTACCTTAAAATTCTATTTCAAATTATACTTAAGAACAACAAAAAAACAAAAAAAAATGTAACCTGCCAATACTTATTCTTATGTTTTTTCCGGATTACATAATACTCATACAAAATGCACAAATTTGAAAATTGCTGAACATAACTAGAAAACAATGAAATTTTACACTTGGTCAACAATTATTGTTACCAACATGACAAATTAACAAATCTTCAATAATTAAGTTTCACTGATACACTGTTTTTTATTTCTAAATAGTATATACGGTTGCTGAACTGTTTCTTCTCAGTTAATTACTTTCAACGAGCAATACAAGTTCACTTATTGGCCTTGTTAAAACAGTCAATATTCCTTCTTTGTACATTCTCACACACAATTTTCGAACCTTTCCACCATCATTGGGAAACACCTTCTCAACTATACCGTATGGCCAACTATTTCTCAGAACATTGCAGTCTTTCACTAAAACGATATCATCTGGTTTCATGTTACAATGTTCGGGTTGACACTTAGATCTCGTTTGGAGTGTTTTGAGATATTCGGACCTCCTGCGTCGCCAAAACTGGTTTGCGAGCACCTGGACTCGTCTCCGTATAGATTTCGAGTGTTTCAGTATAGATTTCGAGTGTTGCTTACAGTGTCCCTCCGAGACGGTCGGCCCTTTCAGCCAGGTGCTTTTTGCTAGGTCTGTTGCTGAAACCCCTCTGGTGCCAATGTCTGCAGGATTAAGGTGTGTTGGTACGTAGTACCACTGCTCTGGCGATGAGTTAGACAGACTCTTCTGTACGCGGTTAGAAACATACGTGTAGAAGCGTCTTGTTCGTTTGCCTATATAGCGTAGCACAATCTTGCTGTCCTTATAATATTTGATTTTAGTGAAATCTATGTCAATGTTTGTCAGTACCGTGCAAGCAACTTCGATACCTAACACAGCGGCACATAATTCTAATCTAGGAATGGTGTGACCACTGCGGGGTGTCACCTTTGTCTTGCCCAAAACAAAACTGGTCTGGTGCTGGGAACTATTGTGTGATGAGATAATGTAAGCTGCGGCGGCTATCACCCTTTCTGACGCATTGCTGTACACATGTAGTTCATTGGTAGCCTCACTTGACGGCTGTGTGCAGTGACGAAAGATTTATAACATATTCAAACTACTAAGAGAGGAACACCAGTCTTGCCATACAGTGATTTTATCTGCTGGTAGGGGATCATCCCATTCCTGGTTTACAGACACTATATCTTGCAAGAGTAACTTCCCTGTAATCACAACAGGCGCCACAAGACCCACAGGGTCGTAAACACTATTGATTGTAGACAGAATGCCACAGCGTGTAAACGGTTTCACATCTTTGGATACTTGAAACGTGAAATTCCAGCAGAGTCCTAGGTTGTGTTGTAATAGAACCTCACTGCCGGAAAGGTCTATATCTGTTAGATTTCTGGCTAAATCTTCACAGGGTAAAGCATTTAACACATTCATACTGTTCGAGGCAATCTCGTAAAGGCGCAAATATCCGTTTTTCATCAAAGCTGAATGTGTGTCAACTATCGAGGTGACTGCCTGTTCTTCTGTAGGAACAGATGTGAGACCATCATCTACGTAGAAATTGTTCATGATGAAGTCTGTCACTTCCAAGCCGAACTCGCCAGAACTAATCAAAGCTGTCTTGCGCAAACCATATGCTGCAACCGCGGGTGATGGACGGTTTCCGAAGACATGTTCTTTCATCCTATACTCGATCAATTTCTTGTTTGTATCATTGTCCTGATACCATAGGAATCTGAGGAAGTTTCTATGTTCTTTATTCACATGAAAACAGTAGAACATCTGTTGGATGTCAGCTGTCACTGCTATTGGTTCCTTCCGGAATCGTAACAACACACCAAGAAGGTTCTTTGTGAGATCTGGTCAAGACATCAGGATATCATTCAATAACAAATCTTGAAAGTTTGCCGAGGAGTCAAACACGATGCTGATCTGGTCAACTTTTTTCGGATGATACACACCGAATGTATAGGTATATACCAACATCCTTCGATGGGTTTCAGTTCTGGTGCTACTTCGGCATGTCCATTTTTAAGGATTTTGCTAATAAATTCAACGAAATGTTGTTTCTTTGCTGGGTTATTTTTCAGGATCACATGCAATAATTTGGGGCGACGTTCTACCAAAATCTTGTTGTTGGGTAAACACAGCCTATTAGACTTGAATGGTAACGGAGCTGCCCGGTTGCCAGCTGAACCACGAACGAAGTTTTCGCTCATCAAGTTTTTTATCTTCCACTGAGAGGCCTGGCTTATAATAACCTTTACTAAAGATGCACATTTTGTTCACAGTTAATGTGAGATTGTCTACCTGAATGTTTCTATTCCTAAGCACGCTTCACCCACAATTACCCAGCCTAGTGCTAGTGTCTGAGCGTAAGATGTGTCTTTAGGTCCTATTCTCTGGTCATGATCTACATGAGCTTCTATCTGTCTCTACCAATGAAGATCTGAATGTCAATATCATTGTTGACCTGCGGTATTTCGTGTTCAATGTTATTCAAATGATCATAGCATGCGGCTATTTCTGGTGTAGGGATTTCGTTTCTGTTGTTTGGTATATTCTTACATTCTAACACTGATGGGAGTTCAAATTCTTTGTCACCAAGAAGGTTTGATATCATAAGGCTAGAAACTTTTCGACCACATGTCACTTTGGTGCCACTACAAGAATTCACAGAATACTCAATTATTTCATAAACTTGTAGATTTAAAGTGTCTAATAAGCTTGGACTTGTCGACTATCATTGCATATGTATTTATTTTGTTGTCTTTGTTTCTTTTATCATAAATGAAAACTGGCACACTTTTAACGCACGACTTTCCAGGAAATTTCGTAGATCCATATACTTGAGTGCATGAGTTGTTCACTGTTTCAGTTGGTACCGTTCTCTCCCCGCAATGACTGCTGTCGATATGCATGGCGGTATTATGTGACTTTCCACATCCTTCACAATTAATGTTCTCTTTACAATCTCTTGACTGATGGCTATTCCCAAAGCACTTAAAACAAAAGCCTCCTTTCTTCAGTAGTGCTCGTTTGTCTGTGAACGATTTTGCCTTAAATTGTCTACATTGGCCGAGCAAATGTGACTTTCCCGGATGGAGGGCACAATTTGCATTTTCTGAAGACTTTTCAACATTTGTTTTTCTAGCGTGAACTACAGATCTTATTGGTTGCATTTTTCCACTTATTTTTGTCACAAATTGATTTTATTCAGCTGGGAGCTGGAAACTTGGATCATTTCGAATCCTTGACTGTTTCTGAATGAATTCAACAAACAACGAGAATGGTGGATGAGCAAGACCATGCGATTCCTTGTAGTTTCTTGCAATATTCACCCACTTTTCTAGCATGAAATTTGGCATTTTGCCCAATATTGGTGTAATTCCAACAC